TCGGCGCGGCAGAAGTCTCGAAACCACGTTTGAGGTTTGGGATTTCTGGCCCAATAGCAGATGAAATCAAAGGTCAGCACACAGTGGTCGCAATGTCCCAGTGGAGCGTTAATTGTTACCTGATCAACGAAGTGCCTTTCGTTGGTGATGACCAAATCCAAGAGGGATGTTATTTTGCCTGCGCGGTATCTGGCGGGTGCAGCGACATCTTGGGTCCCAGCGCTCTGTTGAACGACTTCAAACAGCGCCGCTGCGAAAGGTCCGCCGTGACGACTTTTATAGTGGAGTGACTTATAATGGTTAGGTCTGATCGGGCATAGTGATTGAGCGGTTTCTTTATTGGGACTGTTTGTTTATATGGGCAAAACTTTGAGGTCATTAGGCAACTGAGTTGGGACGTCAGGAAGTCAGCGGTATTCGATTTTCGAGAGGATGTAGCGACGGCACACGTCGGTTCTGAAATGTGCAGATATACGGACTGGTATCAATGAGTTCACACGGTACACACAGCACACATGCGCACAGGTTGGGCGGGACGGAAAAGAACACCGGAGGGTGGTAACGACACACGTGTATTCAACCGAAACCGAAACCGAACGTCGAGGGTGTACAAAAGGGGGTCGGTCAATGTCATTCAGGGGGGTTTGTACAAGCTCGACCATGGAACCTGTAATGGGGAAGAGAGAGAGGGAGAAACACATAAGGTCATGTGTTAGACGTGCAAGCCAATACACTCATGTTTCAACTGCGTTACACTGCCCCCTTCCGAGTATGAACAGTCCCCAGTGCTCAGAAAGAGTGTTAGTGTCGGATGTACTGATCTCAAAAGTATAACTGACAGGTGGAGGGTAGGGCTTTAACTGATTGTAATGTACACACTGTACATCCATATGTGGCTGAGAAGGGACACGAATAACATAGGCGTTGTTTGGCCTCTTAATAACGATAACATAAGGTCCCTGCCACATGTGATGGAATTTTGCGGGCGCACCCGGTGGTGGTTTCGGCCGGTGTAGAATCATAAAGTCGCCTACTTCGTACAGAGGTCACGGGATTTGTGGTAGTGCACAGTTTTCTGGCGTTGCTGTGCATGTCCGATGTTTTTACGGGTGATTTGAAGTGCCGCTGACAGGCGTTCTTGGAGTGACCGGGCGTATTCGTTACTGCCAACCAGGTCTGCAGGAATCACAGGCGTGTCTGCGTCTGAAGGTAGTCGGAGGTCGTGCCCGAGTTGTAAAAATGCCGGTGTATAACCTGTCGACTCGTGTGTAGCTGCTCGATAGGCCAGCATACATAGCGGAATGTGTTCGTCCCACCGTTCCCCTTCGTAACGAGCTACGAGGGTGGTAAGTATTTTCTTTATGGTTCTGTTGGTGCGTTCCACCGAGCCATTCCCCTCTGGGTGGTACGGTGTTATCCTCGTTTTATGGATCCCCAGGAATGCACATATTTCCCGCAGCAAGTGGCTCTCAAAGGCTGGGTCCTGATCAGAGTGGAGAATGACTGGTACCCCATAGTGTGATACCCACTCAAAGATTATCACTGATGCGATCGTACGGGCATCTTGTTGCTTCACAGGCACAGCCTCACACCATTTAGTTAAGTAGTCGACCATGACAACAATGAAACGGTTACCTTTTCTGGTCTCTGGTAGGGGTCCAATGACATCAACACCCACTCGGTGGTTCGGTCCTTGTATGGGGATCGGTTGGAGCGGTGATCGATGCGTTATGGCGGGGGCCTTCGTCGTCGCACCTACCGAGCAGTGCCGGCAAAACTCCGCAACCTAGTGGTGTAGTAAAAACCACCAATAACGCCGTCTAATGCGCGCTTCCGTTTTCTTCTGTCCAGCGTGTCCCAAATCTCGGTGGACTGCTGAGATGATCCCTTAGACGCAACTGCAGGGCACGACGATATGAGGCTGGCCATCCCGACTATCCACAAGGTGGAGCACTCGGGATATAATCCGTAGTTGCCCCCATCGTGACCACAGACTCCGTGCTGCCGAGGATCTCGAGGCCATCAGGCGCCCAGAAGGTTTGGAGTTACCCTGCGGCTGGAGGCGGTAAATCTCGCCAATATCTGTGTCCCTGAGTTGTTCTTCTTCCCAGTTTATTCTGTTAGACGCGAGTAGTACATTGACAGACTCTAGTTCCTGGACTGGCCTTCGGGATAAGGCGTCGGCGTTCGAATGTCTGGCGCCCGGGCGATAGATGCAAGTGAAATCATACTCTTGAATCCGCTCTTGCCAACGTGCGACTTGACCGTCGGGGTCGCGGAAACTCTGTAACCATTGTAGTGAGTGGTGGTCTGTCCGGACAAGGAAGTGCCTGCCAAGCAAATAGGGCCGGAAGTGGTGGAGGAAGTACACCAGGGCAAGCATTTCACGTCGGGTGGTGCAGTAGTTACGTTCACGTTTGTCTAGGACGCGGCTGCCGTATGCGATAACGACCTCTCGGTCACCAAAACGCTGGGACAGTACAGCACCAATCGCCATTTCGCTCGCATCAGTATCTAAAACAAACTTTCCTGCATCGGGTGAGAAGTCCGGGTATGCCAAAATAGGTGGTGATGTTAGTGCTTGCTTAAGACGGTTGAAGGCTTCATCACACTCTATGGTCCACGAAAATTTCCGATCTTTTTGGGTAAGCCTGTGGAGTGGTGCACTGACGGCGGCAAATCCTTTGATAAATCTCCGGTAGTATGATGCCAGACCGAGGAAACTACGTAACCCACGGACATTCGTAGTTGTCGGCCACTCAGCGATGTGTCTGGTCTTATCCGGGTCCGTTTGGACCCCATCGGAAGACAAAATATGGCCCAAGAACAATACCTCACGTTGTAGAAACTTACATTCCTCGGGGTGGATGGTTGGGCTAGCTCACTTGAGGCGGCATAGTAGCTCTCTCAGTCGACTCTTGTGTTCGTTCGTCGTCCGTCCGTGGACAATGATGTCGTTCAGGTAGATCAGGCAACATATAGGGACCATCCCTGCCAATACCTATTGCATAAGCCGCTGAAATTTTGCAGGTGCATTTGCAAGTCCGAATGGCATTGTTTCGAACTCATAAAGTCCAGATGGAATTATAAAGGCGGTCTTCGGTCGGTCTTGGGGTGCGACTTCTACTTGCCAGTAACCTGAAGCCAAGTCCAGTGTTGAGAACCACTTTGCCCCTGCCACCGCATCGATTGTGTCGTCCACTCGTGGTAGGGGAAAGGAGTCGCGCGTGGTGATATCATTTAATTTCCGATAGTCAACGCACATGCGCAAATGTCCGTCCTTCTTCTTTGCAATGACAATGGGGGAAGCCCATGGGGATGAGGACGGCCTAATGATCCCGTCGTCTAACATCTCTTGAATCATGGCGTCCGGTTTGGCACGGTAGTGAATAGGGAATCTGCGAGGGGTTTGATATATGGGGTGGTGGTGTCCAGTATCGATAGTATGTTGAAGGATATGGGTACGGCCCAGTTTAGATCTGTGGGCGTCAAACGAATTGGAGAATTCATTTGATAGTTCCGCTAGGCCGTGTTTCGCCTCCGGAGGAGCAGGGCTACAGTCAACTAAGGACTGCGTCCAATGATTGCTGTGTTGTACAGACGACAGGAAATCAGGGTTTGGTTGGCAGGGGTTGTCGAACGTGATTTGTTCGCTGGTGAAGTCGATAGAAGTCTCATATTTTTTAAAAAATTCCATCCCAAAGATGGCTTCCCATGTCACCGGGGCGCAATAGAACTGGTGGTGCGTGCACAGTTGCCCGATGTTGACAGAACGTAACGCCATTCCCGCTGTTTGGAGCGGTGTACCATTCGCTGTTATTAATTTCGTGCTGACTGCCGACCACCTGGCCAAAACTTCCGTGCACCGACTACGGAGCACGAAGCTCCCGTGTCCACCAAGAAACGTACTGGGCGTTTGTCTAGGTGGCCTGAAACTGTGAGTGGTGGCGTAGAATGGGAAATATGAGAAATGATAGGTACCGAATTACAAAATAGAGGCTCACCAGTGGGACGGGTTGGGGGGTTGTGACCGCAACGCTGGGCTCTCCTCCCGAACCGGCGGCGGTAGGGGCAGTTCATCCGGCTTCCCGGCCGGTTGTTCCGGTTAACAGGTGGCAGCTGACGAGGACCGGGATTGGCGGTTATCTTCAAGCCATGAAGTCCTGGTTCCAACTCTGATGTTGCCTCATAACTGTTTAAATGAGCGAAATGTCAAGGTCACTAGCGATCACCGGTTCGCATTTTGTGACGGGCTTAGGGGGGATAAAGCACGAAATCGTACTTCAGTATATTTTGGCGTTTTTCAGTGTTCAGTGAGAACAACGAACATCCAAAGAATATCTTATCCTAGTTCCACCCTGGAAGATCTGCCATTGATGTTTGTATGCTTTACGCTTTACAAATAAGATGATTTTGTTAAGCGAACCCTGTCAGAACATATTTTCCTATGGATCTTAACTTCCATTTAGTACAACATTGTTAGACAGCAGCATGAAGAGTTTAGGGCGATGCGGGGGCCGTCCCTTTCCCAGATATGCATAGTTAGTCTCTGGTTAGTACAGCGTCATGAGAAAGCCGCGGGTAATTTAACAACATAATGGCACCATTCTTATTATGAAAATGACGCTCTATAGGTAGTGACCACCATAACAGCGGTAGACGATGTTACCCACCTCGACTACTAATCGAAACTGCTGTGTCCGTGCCTATGTGCGACGCTGATTATGGGGCTTCACTTGGGCACGGCAGCCTAGTGCAATGACCAACAACTGCCCTTTACACTCATGAGTCTACGTATCGTCACTAACCTCGAATACTTGTTGTAACTGCCAGGCCAGGGCCACGTGCGACGCTGATTATGAGACCTCACCTATGCAGAGCAATTTGACCCAACGGCCACCCATTAGATAAGGGATGTCACCTATCTTCGCTACCTACAGTAAACACCCGGCCAGTATCCATGAGTGCCGGAAAAATAAAGCCTCAAATATACTTGCGAGCCTAATCTGACGGCGCGTCATCCTCTATGTTGTACTTGATGTTTCCTTACCTGGCTGCTATTTTACCTAGTAGGCCCGTGTGCATTTTAGGCGACGGTTAACCTGTAACCTAATCCAACCTAATCTGTCGTATTCGTAACTGTACGCGTTGTCACTTATCTTTGCTAATTATAATAAACACGAAGCCAGTTTTTGTGCGAACCGATAAATACGACGCCTAATCTATGCACACCTACCTATTCTAAGGGCGAACGACGGACCCCATACCCATAACTGTACGCAACATCACCTACTTTGACTGCTTTTTGAAACTGCTAGGTCAGTGCCTATATGCGACGCTGATTATCGGGTCTCGACTATGCGCAGTGTCCTTGTCTAAGTGCCAAAATGGCCCAGTCACACCATAACTTTGCCCGCTCTCGCTTATGTCTGCTACCTATAGTAGATGCCAGGCCAGTACGCGTGTAGGCTGACAAAAATGAGGCGCCAAATTTGCGTGATATCCTAAGCTAACGGTCAACGATGACCCGTCATATTCGTGACTGTAGTCGATATTGCCTACCCTGGCTACTCATAGAAACTGCCGGGGCCGTGCACATGCAATGAGCTGACAATAATACCCCGACCATACATAGTAGACCGATTGTGATGACCATAACCTATACTCTATACATTGCTCTATTCATCATTTTCTTGTCTTAATATTCCATATGCTGTACATATACGCCAATTCGAATACATACTTGCTGGTTGTTACACCGTGCTGAATTCTGAATTTCTATTCGTCTGGTTATACCGATATACGTGCGAAACTTAATTCTCACATTTCAGCGTCGCGATTGGAACAATTCATCATGCCTGCCGAAATGGAACCATTAGATGTTAATTCAACTGCGCGTGACGTATAGGATTATTTGGAACGATTCGACATGTGGTGCCTCGCAAAATCCGATATGGATAATAAGAAACTCACTGCATATTTCCCACATTTCGCTGGCAAGGAGGCGTATACGTTGATCAACAATTTAGTATATTTTAAATCTCCAATCGATATTTCCCACACTGCATTGAAAAAAGTTCTTCAAAGTTAACTTGGTAGAAGCCGAAAGAGCTATATTCAATATGTTGATCCGCTCCCATTCTCAGTCGGTTCGCGATTTCGTGTTAAAGCTTCAGACACAGGCAGCCAAATGTGACTATGGTGCCCAATTGGAAGACCAGCTGCGTGATAGACTCATTGCTGGCATTCAACTGCCCGAATTACAGCAGAAGCTGTTACTCTGTCCGGATCAGAAATTTCAAACTATTCGGAAAATATGTGAGCAGTATGAAGATGTGAAGCATGTGACGAAGACTGAGGAAGCAGTCTTGTTAAATTATTCTAAAAGAAATAATTCAAGGATGCGGACGAACAACAAATTCAAACCTCGAACAGATTCTCGTGCCTCAAATCCATCAACACGTCACTTCACAGATCGTAACCCTAATCCGATGGCTCAAAAATTCGGGAAATGCGAGTCTTGTGGACGAAACCATTCCAGATATTCATGCCCCCACAGACGAGCCAAGTGTTTTAGCTGCGGTAAAACAGGACACATTCAACTTGTCTGTAAGT